ATAGGATGACTGAGGTCGAATGATAAGAAAAATGTGGATGAGTTCGTCAATTTTATAAACCAATTTGATGGAAGAATTAAATTCAAAATGGAGTTGGAGGAGGAAAAACGTTTGTCCTTTCAATATGTTGAGGTCGTTCGCTCTAACGGAATACTCAACAGGAGACTATTCGGAAGGAAATCACATGAGCGAATAATCCTCAATTTCCAGACTCTTCACAACTACAGATTGAAGATCGCAATAATGAGTAGTATAATTTTCAGAAGCTTAACACTAACGGACAATGAGATCTAAAACGGGGAGTTAGAGAAACTGACTCGAATTTGCCTTAGTAACGGGTACCCCAAAGAACTTAAGGAAAAGAAATGTAGCCGTCATAAAGTGCAGATTTAAACTCCGATTTTATGAATTTGAGATGAGTAATCGGGAGAACAGACAAAGGTGGGTATGCCAGTCGTTGCATGCGAGCGTTGCTAATAAAAGTGAATATCAGTGTTTACAAAAGAAAAGACAGCACTATTCACAAGCATTCCGACGCAAGACGAGAAGATTGATAAACTGGATCGCTCGATAGTCTATAGCCCCAAATGTGGCAACTATGAGCAGAATTATATCAGTGAAACAGGAATAGAAATCAGCCTACAAATCAAAGAACACCGAAGATTCCGCAGAAAGATGTGAAATGGCGACACACATCGCACGGATGAGCCAGGAAATCGAGTGGAAATCGAGAGGAAAACGAGTGAAAAGGCTGGCTGCATATGGAGGCAATACAAGCAAACACAAGATACAAGAAACCGTCGATATACTGACTGAAATAAATATAATAAATAGGAGAATGAAGAAGACAGATAAGCGAAAACGTTGCATACTGCCTAAGTAAAATTTGTGTCAGAGTAGGGAACAGTAGGGAACAATATCAACAGAACGAAGACGATTAGTCAAAAGGTAATATTTTTAATTGTATAAAAAGAAATCACAATGAGACCAGAAGGGAACAAACGGAAATCAAAAGAAGACTTCTACAGTTTACGGTCCGTAGAATCAATTAGAACCATCACATTTTGGGGTCATAAACTTGGCATTAGGGATGGAAGAGCAAGAAAAAAGGTGTTTATCATCGATAATTAGGAATTACTAGATAGTTTTCCCATAGACCTGGACCATGAAGTAACTGCTTGACCACGAGATCTACTCGGTGCACATGCCGCATAGTGATATGACCATCTGCAGCCTCAGGTTTAGTTTCCATGCCAACTGAGAATCCACACTTTAGGGGCTTGCTCAGTGAGGCTGGAGTATACTTGCTATCAAAGGCTTGAGGAAGAGTGTAGAGCATTACGTCTTGAGTAGCACGGATACGGTGGCATCGATGGTGTGAAATCATTGAGTCAGGCAGATAAGGGATGGATCCTACGGAGCAGGAGGGGGACTCTGATGGGACGCGAAGGGAGATGATTGCGAATTAAACTGCATCCTTTGAACAACACCTCCAGCAAAGTGGGAGAGATGTGGAAACCAGCAAGGAGTGTAAATATTTGCAACCAGATTTAGATAAACAAGTAAGAAATTGTGATATTGAAGGGCTGATTCAAGGATATAGGATTGGTGAATAGTTCAGCTGTTTAGCTGGCAATTGGTCAAAGGATCGATTCCACTTGTCTCTTTGATGAGTTGTATTTCCGTGATAATAATGGCAATGCTCATTGACGATGCCGACTACGATCCCGTCGATACTTCTTGGAATGTACCGAGTTCACGTTCTGATTCTGGATATTATCATGCATACTTTGGATTCCGGACAATGTACATTTCCCAAGGTCTTCCTGACCAAGTTACGAAAACGAGGCTAACAAACTTCTAGGGACTGATAGTTGAGTTTTCCCACAACTATATGCGTATGTGTCACGATGACATTATATTTCGCATAATACATTCGACCTACATACGTATTCTCACTCTAAACCTTACGTTTGTGTAAACGGATTTCTTCGAGGAATATCATTAAATACCACCAAATCTTAATATTTATGTTGAAAGAAGAGTCGCTTTATAAATATATATACCAAAGCAAGACTATATTGTTAGTTTTATTAATCTGTTGTAACCTTGAAATTTTGTCATTTTGTTTAACGGAATTATAAATGGTAGGCTTTCAATGTGTTTCGAAAGTGTCAGTTATTCTTGAATAAAAACTTATTCTGGTTTGATCATTTAAAGTGATTTAAAGTCTAATTTTCAGAAAATGATTTATATAGGTCTTAGGATACCAAAATTTACCCTTAGCCTTAACTCCCAAATAGATCTTTCATCCTAAATTGTCTGAATTTTCTACCATGCCTAAGTCCTAACAATGACATCGAGAGGCTTTGTGCGAATATTCATCTATAAGTCTTCAACTCATGTTAACTAGCCTAGGGTAACAGTTCTTAGCACGTTTTACCGGAAAAATAAGGCTTCTTGAAAACTAAGTCAACATGAACGCGTTTATGATGCAATCAGCCTAACAAGATCTTCATCACACATGTTTGTTCTGAACGAGCGTCAAGTTAGCACTAGCACACCAAGAGATTTATTAAAATCCAGCTTCTTTCTCCTTCATACTATTGTCTTTTTGTAAATATCTACATGTAGTGTACTAATTTTGTATTTTTCCGATTTTCAGCCTTCACCGACGAGCCTAAGTTGCCGGAATTCTGGTCTGTGGTGCCAGAGTATCCTGATGCTGATTCGGGTCAGGACACTAGTTCTGAGATGGATCGTCGGTGGCGACCGGACTTAATGCCTGAGGAAATTTTGGTTCGCAATTTACTGCAGCGCGGCAGTTTAACGGTTCGACCGAACGGACAAGACAATCTGACCTCGGTTGCTGTTCGTGTCAATATCACCTACAACGTAATACAGATCCTTGCATTTGTGAGTTAATAATCATGATTGACTGCAAATAAATAGAACTTGATCTAATATTGTCTATAGATGAGAAGTAATACAGTCGAAGAAGAAGTATTGCAAGGCCTCACCAGGCTTCGCTTCGCGATAGGAGCCATTGTTGCTAACCCCAAAACACTATGATCGACTTTAAAAATACGATTTTCTAATAATTAAAATAAAACAACGAAATCGCGAAAAACTGAAAAATCTGTACAATGGTCAAACAGCTCGTTGAACTTTATATGAGATAAGAGAATGAAGAGACCCTTTTATTATTATTTTATATTATGTTATTAGCTATGACTCACTTACAGTATCATTATAATAAATACCACTTGGCTAACCTCTGATTGGAGGATTAAGAAGTGGAATCTGCTCTAATTCTCAACTCAAATAGTGGAGGGGAGTCGAAGAAGGGAGGTGTATGCACCAGTCTCGGCTCAGTTGGTCGTTTTAAAGTCGGGACTAGTAAGGCTGGTCGCTACAAACACTCTTGAGGTCTGAAGAAAAAATGCGTTTCGAATAATTCCTTAATAAAAGATTGCGACATGACTCTCTATTTCGAAGGAAAGTTGGACGGAAGGAATTCGTGATGTGGTCTCTCCGGAAAACGTAGAACGATTGCGACGTAAAGAAGACTGTTGAATCGGATCACCGTCCTGCGACCCCAATGAAACTGTGTTAAGCTATCGTCTGAAAGACATCATCGGAGCAAGATTCCATACTTTAGAAATAGAGCAAAAGTATTCTAAACCAAGAGAAAATGTAGTTTAGTATATTTTTGCTCTATTTCATAAAGTATGGAATCTTGCTCTGATTATGTCTGTCACAATACAGACGAAGGCTTAACACAGTTTCATCGGGATCGCAGGAAAGTGAGCCAAGCACGTCTTCGCATAATTCAACAGTCTTTCCTTCGCCGCAATCCTCATTCGGTCTCCTGTGAGAGCAAATCACGAATTTCTTCCAACCAACTTTGACTTCGAAATAGACAGCCATGCCACAATTCGTGAGATCAGTTGATAGCTTGACTCACCTTTTCGGTCGCTTGATACAACCCCAGGGATATGTGAGTCTCATTTCGCCTTGTGTGCTTCATAGAACAAGTGTATTGAGCTAGAATATTTCTAGGACATGCCCTTATTTCGGGTCTAACCAGCGAATTTTTTTATTTTACAAAACATTATTTTCAAGTAGTTGCTTGACCTTGTTCTCGAAACTTGGTTATATTGGCAGGAAGACCTGGAGGAACGCACCTCGTCCGGAGTCCATAGTATGCATAATAATTTCCAGAGTCTGACCGTAGAGTTGGTAGATTCCCAGAAGTTTCACCGGCATCGTCAGTGCGCCTTGCCACTCTTAGCACCACAGCAAATCTAGTTTCTATAGGTCATCCTGGCAATATGACCAAGTTGTGAAAGCAAGGTAAAACAACTATAAAACAACGAAAGAAGTTCGCGACTATACAAAAAGCCACACCATCCTGATATTCATACCTCTGAGAAAGACTATACTGAAGCGAGATTTAAATGAGTCTATTTTAAAAAGACTAATTTCCGCGTAAATGGAAATATTTTATGTTGACTCTAATGGAAAGGTTAAAGTCTAGAGTTAGCCTAGATCTCTTTGAATGATGTATGGACTGATGGTCCAAGTTACCATAAGTCATGTGAATATGCTTTGTGATTCCATCTTATTTCATTCATTATAGCTTTTAAAACAGTTGCCATATCCCGAATGTGAAGGAGTTGAATTTTTTCTCCAATATTATGTTTTATGTCGAGATTGTCAACAAAGCAAAAAGCTTCCTAGTATTGTTGTTGAATAGGAAATACCTTGAATGTAAGGAATACCAGTAAGAAGATAAGTAAAAAGTATTTGTGCTTAATTGATAGATTGAAGGATAGAGAAGGAGTTGAGCCGCCTGCAAAAAGAAGGCGACGCAACTAGTCTTTTCTTATTTTACTTTTAAG